CGTTGGTCTCCAGTTTCTTCTGAGCATGCACGAACGTAGTTCTAAGGTGTGATTTCAAGTCTGCCACATACTGATGAGCGGTATAAGCAGTGGCAACACTGACATCCTCTGGGTGATACAGGAGGTGCAGTGGTAGAGTCATCAGTCTGCCGGTCATCATCTCAAAGGGCGTAACCCCCGTGGATCGCTGGGGAGTAGACCGTATGGCCATCAGGACCAGAGGGAGCTTAACGTCCCAGTCCTTCCCAGTGGAGCAGACGTACTTTTTGAGCATAGAGACGACCGTGCGGTTCATCCGTTCGACCTGTCCGGATGACTGTGGGTGATAGGGGAGGTGGAATCTCACTTCCACTCCCAGAAGTTCAAACAGGGACGTCATTACACTGGATGTGAAATGAGTTCCTCGGTCAGAGTCAATGCAGAGTGGAAGTCCCCATCAACTGAAAACGTGGTTAATCAGCAGTACAGCGGTTGTGACGGCTGTATCATTTGGCGCTGGAAGGCATTCCACCCACTTCGTGAAACTGCAAGTTACAGTTAGCATATATTTGTTTCCTCTTGCCGATTTGGGAACCGGTCCAACCCAGTCGATCTGCAGGTGGGACCAAGGGAAGGTTATTCCCCTGCGTTGCAGTGGTGCTCTAGCAAGCGGCTGGGAGGGTTGAAACTGGGCACAGACGAGGCAGCCTTGGACATAGCTGTGTACGTCCTTGGACATCGACGGCCAATATGCTACTTCTGTCAGTGACGCGAGGGTAGCTTTTGCTCCGCGGTGACCTCCGACCGGAGCGTCGTGGGCGTAGGCAAGCATTACTCCTCTGTGGTCGAGTGGAACAACCCAGCGTGGTGGGCTGTGATCGTCACGCATGTAAACTAACAAATCGTTTTGTAGTTTCAGGTGCGCGAGTTGACGATGCAGGGTTACCAAATCTCGGCTTGCGCCAGTAGGTGGTGACGGTTGTTCAGACATCGGGCCCTTTTGGAGGAGCTCGCGGATGAGATTCAGGTCAGGATCTTGTTCCTGCATGGTGACTAGGTCCGCGTCATGTGGTTTCTGCCTAGAAACACGGGTACCCCAACGGTCCGAGGTTCGTCTGCCTGTTTAGCATAGCGACGAGTAATCGCACAGACCTCGTGAACGGCCTTGGGAGGAAGCCACTCGTCTTTGAATTCCCAACAGGTTCCCTGGTCAGCACCGAGCTTAGCAAGGCGGTCAGCTTCGTCATTACCATCTTTCTCCGGACCTATGGTCCTGGAGTGACCTTTGACCTTTTTCCAGTAGACCATTATGCCTTTCTCGGTGGTGAGCAGATCACACGCTAGGAATAACTCCGAGTGTTTCACGTCTCTGTTCCTGGCATTTTTCATGTTGTTCTCCTTCCACATGGGGAAGTGAGATATGAAGCTGTGTCTAGCGTAGTTTGAATCTGAGCAAAGGACGATTTGAGTGATGTCCAAGGCTGCCGCCTGCTGGAGGGTTATCAACACTGCAGCGATTTCGGCGTACTGACTAGACTTTTGGCCCAACCGGTAGTGATTTGGTTGCTTGGTGTCACAGTCCACCCAAACGACTCCAACCCCAGCACGGAGCTGGCCTTCGTGAAGGTAGGCGCATCCATCAGTGTAAACTTTCGGAATCCCTTGGCAAACATTCTCATCAAAGTAGCGATGATTGGATGCGGTTGGGTAGACTGCGGCAGGTGTGTCCAGGGGGCCCATGACGGAGTCAGAGTCACAGTGCTGGCAGCCTGCTAGCCCTTGTCCTAGCGCTAGCTTGGTGTTCTGACCATACTTGACCTCAATGTTGTATCCTTGGAGCACCATCATCCACGTCGCAATGCGGCTGTTTGACACTCTTCCTTCGCGCAGACGCAGGCTGTTTAGGAAGGTGACAGGCTGATGACACGTTTCAATGATCACTTTCTGTCCACCGATGTAACTACGAAAGTGTTCGATGGCCCAGACTGTAGAGAGGAGAGCTCTCTCGCAGTCTGAGAATTGGAGTTCCACCTTGCTCAGAGGCTTGCTGGCGTATGCCACAACTCTCATGTCCTGATCGTGTTTCTGCTTCAAAGCAGCGCTCAGGCAGTGAGAGGAGAAAGTAGCCTCTATGTAGAACTCTTTATCCTTGTCTGGGTAAGCCAGACAGGGTGCGGACTCCAACTTCTGTTTTAGGAACTGGAAGGAGAGTTCTTGGGGTCTGTCCCACACGAAAGGTGTGTCGTTCCGAAGCAGCTCAGTGAGGGGCCTCGCTGTTTCAGCGTACTCCTCAATGAACTGCCTGGAGTAGTTGCAGACTCCGAGGAAGCTCCTGAGTTCAGTCAGATTAGCTGGGGCTTTGATGTCCTGAATGGCTCTAATGCGTCCCGCTTGGGGCTCGACTCCATTAGGGCCAACCAGCAGTCCAACATACTCCACTTTGGTTCGACACCACTGTCCCTTGAGAATCGCCAATTTAGCTCCGGCGTCAGCGAGCTGTTGCAGCACATGACGGAGCTCAACCAGGTGCTCCTCGAAGGTTCGACTCCTCATCAAGATGTCATCGACATATATGAGGTTCCCTCTGGAAGCAGCATCTGACATGGCTTTGTGGAGGAAGATGTTGAACTCGGCAGGTGAGTTAGAGTAGCCAAAGGGGCAGCGGTTCCATGTATATTGGCGATTTCCAAAGGAGAAAGCCAGTTTATACCGGTCCGCCGGCTCAACCTTCATGGTCCAGAAGCCGTTGGCTACGTCAACCGTAGAGAAGAAACGAGCATCTCTGACTCTGGCTAGCTCCTGATCTAAATGGATCATAGGCCACCTGGAGAGAGGCACTTGTTTGTTCAGTGCACGATAGTCTATGGTGAGACGCCATTTCCCAGTCGGTTTCAGAACCGGCCAGATGGGAGAGTTGTAAGTGGAGTTACACTCTCTTATGATGTTTTTCTCCTTCAGCTGATCGAGGATCTCCTGGATCGACTCATAAGCAGCGAGGGGAATCTTGTACTGACGTACAAAAGTAGGAGGGGCATTTGGGTTCGTTGGAATGCGAACCGTATGCAGGTTTGTGAGTCCACAGTCCAGGGAGTCCCTGGATAAGATGGACTGAAACTCATAGAACAGGCTTCTAAGCGCTGCTCTCTGCTCCTCTGACTCCAGCGCATCCGCTTTGTCAAGCTGCTGGCTGACTTCGGCCTCAAAGCCGTCATAAGGTTCAGAGGAGGAGGGTCTCTGGTGTTCCGGGCTTTCAACCAGTGACTCAGAGGGTTGAGTATTTATTGCAAAAACCGTTAGACACTGACCGCCGTCAGAATCTAAGGTTGCACTGCAAATGGGTTCCTCAGGAAGGGCTTCATGCCGCTTGATGGTAATCATTTGTGAGGGGAAAGTACTGAATGTGTCTACACCAACCTGTCTGTCGTTCAAGAACAACGGAAGTTGTCCGATCACGGGGACTGAAAGTTCAAAGTCATGGAATGAGCTATCTATCAGCATGCCCAAGGGCTTTCCTGCCGGCATGTGGATAGGACTCCGGGTCGGATTTTCGACCAACACGTAAGCAGAACGATTGTTCAGCTCCAAGAGTGGCGTGCCACAGACGGCTAAGTTGAGCTCCAAGAAGTGTGGTGATGGCTGGAAGAAGGCCTGTGTGCCTGGCAGCTTCTGATGCTTCATCAGAGTCAGACGAACAGGCACTCCTTTGACTAGTGGGGGCAGAACCGTGCTGGCCTCAACCACTGCACGGCAGGCCTGTGGAATGGTCTGTCTGGACAGCAAGTGTTCAGGGCCTTCTGAGCGAAGCTCAGAGGATGGTGTGGCACGGGCCCAAAGGACTTGATTGCAAGTGTCCAGCTGGGCACCGAGTCAAACCAGCAGATCTGCTCCAATGAGTGCAGGTGGATCAAGCTGTGGTATGATGCTGAATGTATGTGTGAGCTGTCTTGCTCCAAGCTGGATAGTCAGGGAGCAGACCTCTGGCGCTTTCAGGAGCCTCTGCGGCCAAGTAGGTGACAAGAGCCGATGGCTACGTGTCACACTGACCAAAAGGGGTTCTTTCTGACATGCCTAACAAGTTAACTAGTGGACAGAAATGGCTTACATGTTCATGACAATTCTGGCTGATATCCTGATATCAGAATAAATGCTCATTTGGCTTGCCATAGCCCCCAGACTCTGGAACTCTCTCCCCCTGAGCCTGAGATCAGTGGACTCAGTGGTCTCCTTTAAAAAGCAGCTGAAGACTCACTTGTTCAAGCTGGCTTTTGTATGACCTTCTTCACCACTCTCTTTATTCTGCTCTCCCCACCTATTCCACCTTCCTCAGGATCCACTGATTTCCCTCTTTCCTATTCACTCTCTCTCTTTCTTAACATGTTTTCTTTTAAATCGCAACTGCTTATTCTTGCTCATTTTAAATATATGTTTAAACATTTTCTAAATGCTTTTTTATATTTTTAAAATTTTTTACATTTTTTGTTTTTGTTTTTGTGAAGCGCCTCGTGATTTTTATCTTGAGAGGCGCTATAGAAATGATATTTTCTTCTTCTTCTTTGCTAGTTTTTAGAACCTTTTACTACAATTAAAACCATTTTAAACTCCACTATCATATTTCTTATGTTACCCCCTCCTTCACATTTTAACATTTCCTGACGGGGACGTAACACAGGGGCTTTCTGATCAGGAAACGGCTGGCAGTGAATGAGTTAAAAGTAAACATTACAAAATGTTACACTTAAAAAAGATTAAATCTGTCTTAGTGCCACTTCATTTCTCTATTATAGAATTTATTCTACCTTTTAATCCTAAAAATGGCTAACTGGTCATTCTCTGTCAGACTGACATTTTGCCAAACTTTATTCAGCTTAAGGCTCCCACCGGCACGGTGTGTGTGTGTGTGACTTAATTTCATACCTGCTCTGTAGAATTTATTGAGTGTCTCTGTGATGTGCAGTGAACAGGTACCGGTTAATAGAGGTGAATTACTGTGATTGAATATTTAAAGCCTGTCTGAGACACACCTCCTCTGTATTCTGTGTTGCTCCTCCAGTCTATGAGATCAATCTCTACTGTCCCAGCAATTACCAGCTCCAGTTCCCGTGCATCAAACACCGACACCAGCCTGGAGTCCACCACCTGTAGAGGAGACGGAGAGAGGACTGACGTACTGCATGGAGAACAAACTGGCAAAATTTTAGCTACTTGTTATCTATGTGGTGTTAGCTAAGTTAGACCTGGACTCTGTTGGTGTTAACTCCACGTGTTATCTAGTCATCTGTAAACGAACTAGATCTAAACCAAGTAGAAGCAGGAATATTGACCTCGTAGAAGCCTCTGACCAGCGCCTCCGTCTGCTGCACCACCCCTCTCTCCACTCTCCATTTAGCCATTCGCTCAATGTAATCCTTCTTGTTCTTCTCTGTCACCTGAAGGTGGGAACCTCCTGACTTCAGCTCCCGCTCTGTCACCTGGACATGAAATAAGAAGGGGAGCTTTAAGGCACATCTCTTTTATTTGATCTTTTTTAAATAACAATTGAAAAAATAGGCACAGACTTGACATTGTGTCGTTCACTAAAGCATTGGAATATGATTGGTCTTAGTGTCCATTGACTTCACGCAATTTGAATCTGCTTTTGAATTTTAGATAATAAACAAACTTAAATTCTAATTTACTATTCACCCTAAAATATCAGAAAAATTAATTATGCACCTGAGCCCACCTTCTTTAGTGTTAAAAGAAGACGCACTGCTGAATACTATAATCAAAAATCTTCATGCAACTTGGCTATATATATTTAAGGTTTGGTTTACTCATTTAATCATTATATTAGCAGAAATCTCTAGTAGGAATGAATGCCCTGTAGGTCATTCCCAGAAAAAAAAGATACACCGATGCATCATTTCTTGGAACCAAAAGTTACCCAGTTCACAGATGAGCTTCAGATGGCAGGATTTGGAGTCTTATTCCCTGATAGTTGGAAATCTCGCTCCGGATTGGATAACAGCAACAACACTCAACCACTGACTTGTAACATTAATGTTTTATCTCTACAAATATCACAAGCATGGAGAAGTTCTGCTGTGTGGTGGTGTTGCTAATGCTAACGGTTAGCTTCTACTAGCTGAGACGTTCTTTGCTGATTCCTGGACATTAAACTAAATAAACCTTCCTCGCCACCAGGAGGGAAAATGGTAATGGTCCTCAGTATGTAGTAAGTACAAGAACACAGTTTTCTCCGCAGGGTGGCTGGGCTCTCCCTTACAGATAGGGTGAGAAGCTCGGTCAGCCAGGAGGGGCTTTGAGTAGACCTGCCGCTGCTTCACATTGAGAGGAGCCAGTTGATAGTGGCTCGGGCATCTGGTCAGGATGCCTCCTGGACGCCACCCTGATGAGGTTTTCCGGGGCACGTCCAACTGGGAGAAGGCCTAAAGGAAGACCCAGGACACACTAGAGGGCCTAAAGGAAGACCCAGGACACACTAGAGGGACTTTGTCTCTGCTGGCCAGGGAATGCCTTAGGATTCTTCCAGAGGAGCTGGTCCAAGTGGCTGGGGAGAGGGAAGTCTGAACCTCCCTGTCAAGCGGCCAAAAATGGATGGATGGAAATCACAAAATTGGTCTTCTCTGTTCTTGGATGTGCAAATACTAGTGAATAGTTTTTATTCCCTTTTGGTATCTAAGCTTTAATGTTTTAGACCAGTGACCTCTCCACTAACATACTAATCAGTAAGATCAGTAAAGAAAAACATTAACGTAAACATTCTTCAGTTTCATTAGTTTGTCTTCAATTTGAGTTGATGCCACAGCAGCCACCTTCAAAATAAAAGCATGTAACTCTAACTCACAGTTTGTGGCCCAGGTCTTGAGATATCTGGCTCAGGATACAAATGCTGATATTTATGTATCATCAGCCCTGCTAGCCCATGGTCCCTCACAGACTGATCCTGCTCAATTCAAAGCAATTCAAGACTGGCGTTTACACATTAGCATCGGCACAGTTGAGGTTTGGTGAGGCTGGATGGTGTGAGTCCGGTCTCGAACGGGCGGTGTAGTGTTCCCATATAAATCAGAGGGACTTCTCAGGAATGGAGAAATCCCCGACCCTATGGGCGGAGTTTAACACATGCGGGAAAGTCTGTGATGTCCTCTATTATAAGGAAAACAAAGACGGGCATGAGCTGTGTTGCTTTTGGAGACTCTGAACCACATTATTTTATTAATTAGCTGTGTGTGTCCTCATAATCTTGAGCCACACACACATACACACACACACACACACACACACACACACACACACACACACTGCTTTCTCCCCGAGCAGCTGTCTGCTCGCCGGGGAAAGAGCTCCGATGCGAGGACAAGCACACTCCCACTCTAAAGCACTGTGCTGAAGAGCTGGCCCCAGTGTTTACAGGCATTTTCAACTCTTCACAAGAAAACACTCGGGGTTAGTATTTACTTACTAGGGGAGGAGGGATATGGACATGAAACTACCAGGACAGGAAAGATTGTGGCATAGATGCAACCATGTCCCGTCCAGACTTTTGCAATAGCTTAGGAAGCTAAAGGGAAAAAGCAGCTGGGACAAATAACGTGTGTGAAGCCAAAAATTCAACTGGGGTGTTTTTGATGTGGAAATAATAATATAACATAGTCCAAAGCTTCAGAAAGTGGATTTTGCATGATTTAGTCCATGTTAAATATTATTTATGTGGAGATTCGTGAGCAATTTATCATAAAATTTATATTTGTCACAGTGGTGGCAACTCAATTAAACCAAAATAATCCCCAACAATCCAAAAACAACAACTCTAGCTAATTTTCAGAACCTTCGGGGACATATCTTGCCCCCCATGATGTGACGATAACAACAAACTCACACAACAAAGTTTTATATGGTTTTCAAAACTATTACACAGCAGGTGTCATTTAATTTAAATGTTTTCTGTTTGAGTCCATTCAGGAAACCTCTGATCACAACTCTTCTACACCGTAGCATGCTCATATCCTGACCTGGCCAAAGACCTCCTCATTCACAGTGAAGGTGAGGTCCAGTATGTCGGTGATGTCGTTGTCTTTCATCCACTGTAGAGACTGATGGAACTCTTCATCCAGGTACTCCAGATCAGACAGGTCCGTTGACCTTTGAGATACACACAACTCACATTTATACACCACAGAGCTCAGCAGTAACATTCGCCAAGTCTGTTAAAAAACAAATTGCCATCTAATTTAAAATCCATCTCTCGTTATTTAGGCAAGCATTTTACAAATCTATCCATTTAACAACGCGATGGCTTGCTGGCTAACACTATGACTGAACCATGTCATTTCAGTATTGGATGTTTTTTTAATATTGGGCCTAAGGTAGTTTATGTCAGTGAAGGATTTTCAGTCATGATTGAGTATGTACTCACAGCCTGAGCAGCGCCTTGTAGAAAGGTCTAGTGAAGAAGGCATCCAGTAAGTACTGGTGAATCAGAGCCAGTCCTAGAATACGACCACTGAACCGGAACCTGGGTGCATGGACACACACACACACACACACACACACACACACACACACACACACACATTCCAACAGTTCAGGTCTACAGGTCATGAGTAACACCTGGGTCATGGTAGACTGATGCTGATGATTGTCTATGTTCACCGGCACCAGGAGCCAAATCCCCACTGCACACTGAACCTTTTAAACTGAGCATCACAATGTCTACAGGTACAGGGGTTACATGTAACAGTGATACAGCAGCAACTGACCTAGGAAAGGATTTGGTAACATTCAGAGTTTTTGATTCCCAATCATTGTACTGTAAACAAGCTGTTTGTCAAGAGTAAATTATCCTTTATCTGCTTTCTCTTCAGCACATCCTAAACTCCTTCAAATGAATCTCCTACCATCTTTATGCAGATGACATCCAACTGTACATCTCCTTTAAGCCCCATGAGATGCCTAAGCTGCAGCTGTTACACACCTGCTTAGACTCTATTAAAACCTGGATGGTTGGGAACTTTCTACAGCTGAAAGAAGATAAGACTGAGATCCTGAATCCTGGTCATGTTGGTTTTTAGCCTGTGATCCAGTCCGTGGCTGGCTGCAGCTCTCTCAGAACCGGTCCGGTCCCGATATTCTACTTCTTTTCAACTATGACAACTTACTTTAACTTTAACAAAACAATACTTCAATAAAAACAATGAGGCAGTGATTCAATGTTTACATGTAAAAAGCAGAGAAAGTAGTACAAGCACAAAACACAGAACACCTGCAGAGGAATTTCTGTCCACGGACCTGCCAAACTCCTCCTGCCATTTTGTTTTTAATATGCTGTGCACAATAATTAAATCTGAAACAGCCTTTTATGATGTCCAACATCAGTAACCCTGCTGTCTGTTAACACTGGGTGCAAAATGTGTGGCTCACCATTCCAGATGGTTTTCAACAAATGCGGACATGGGGCTGATCTGAACAGTGTATGTGTCGTTTGCAGAGTATTCAAAGAGACCATAGTAGGGATTAAAGAGCTCCTGGGACAGTAGGAAGAAGAACTCCCTGGATGGACCACTGTAATCTAACCTGGAGGAACAAGGTGAAGAAAGGAAACATTCTCAGATTCAGCCTGTACATGCTGATCAGTTGCACACAAGCCCTAACTCACAAACAGGAAACTGTATCATCAAAATGAAGCCTTGTTTGTTATGTGGGAGGAGCTAATGTGTTCTCTTTGTGAGTATAAGCATGCCTTTCGGCTCAAGCTATTATGATGTGGTATGTTTCTGCAACTGAAGGACTTTTTTGTGTGGATTTTAGTTCCATCTTACTGATTTAAAATTTGTGACAATGTTGAGTAACGATTCCTTTGAGTGTATGACTGCCTCACCCTTCCTCCCCGAGAAAAGTGATGTAAAGTTTGTTCCTCTGCAGCTCTTTGCGAGAATATGCCATCACCTGGTTGAAGGTTCCCTCCAGCAGATGTTCTCTCCTGATTAGCAGTCTGCACACAATCAGAAAATATCAGGACCCAATGTTCCAAATAAACTGGTGAGACTTCGTAGTTCGGTAGAGCCCAGTTCTCACTTGATCTTGCCAGGACCCTGGCCATATCCCTTAGCTTCTAATTTTCTGTAGAAGTTTCTCAGCTTGGCTTCAAAGTCTCTGCGGTAAGGTGCCGGTGCCCTGGCTCTCTGCAGGCCTGCACATTCACACACAAGGGAAATTAGGTGAAAGGACACTTTTTAGGATGGGAGGATTCATGCAGGCTCATGTTAGCAACAAACACGTTAACAACTGTCAAACACAAAACATGTTTCATTTGTGCATTTAGGCAACACCTGAGTAAATAAATTCATAGACATTGTTTGGAAAATTAAGCTTTCCTAATCATTATTTTCTGTTTTTTTTTGTTCCAAAACCATGGCTTTTCTGTCGACAATGAGCTAGTTGGGAAGCGCTCTAAGGAGGATAGAGAAGGAAGGACAAAAACACTCAATAAAGGTCACAAAATAGAAGATTTAATCAGGAATTATACAAAAGATCCTCCACCCTAATAGCACACTCAAGTTTAATGTGTTGAAGTAAACATGCACATTGTCCATAACCCTAACCCAACCTGGGTTTAACTAAGCAAATATGTATGAGCCTCCTAATGGATAATCACTGCATGGGTAATTATCTTATCAGTAGGCAGAGTTGACAAAACAAGTGAGACACACTTGCCATGGTGACTCCATCTCTGATTTAGAGGTATTTCATACAGTGGGATGCAAAGGTTTTGGCAGCCTCTGTAATCTTCATGACTTTCCTGTAAATTCTAGATTTGAGGAGGTGTGGTTCTACCTTGTGAGGTGTTAAGGCAGCCTTGCTTGGAAAAGAAGTTTTTCTTTCACCTTTTTCAAGATTCAGATTTTCATAAAAAGTAGCCAGACAGCTTTGACTTTTTGGCATGCTGCTTTTGACCACCTGAGCTGTCTTTAGTCAACAAGGGGAATGTTGTTTTGGACTCTAGCTCCTCTTTAAAGAGACAACGTGTAGTTTTTACAATTGACATCTGGAAACATCCCTCAAAAAGTTGTTGAAAAAGAATGAAATGATGCCCAGTTGTTGAAAAATATTAATGGCTTTGTAACATACAACCATAAATATCAGGTCTAAAATACATGGGAGCAGGTCTAAGTCTCTGGGTGACGCCATATTAGATGCTGTGTTTCCTTCTACAGGAGCCCATGAGGATAAAATGCATTTGCTGATTTGCGACAAACAGTTACAAAACTTTCGTCATTCTTAAATTTTGTTGTTTTAGAAATGTACCTCTTCACTTGTTGCCAGTGATGAAAGGGAGTCTAATGTGCTTTTTATTTTGTTAAGGTTTGCACTCCCTAGGACTTTTTGACCCTAATGGGCCTCCGTTGGTAAGTTCTTACTCCAACACAATGCTTGCAACGATTTAGGCATCTACTGCCCCCTATCGTCACGAAAAACACACACTGTCACTTTAACATTGATCTCAGTGATGAGTTAGACATTTGATCAGTTTCATATCTGACACAACCCTGCAGTCCTCTGCTGGCCAAAAACCGTACTTGATGGTTTTGTGGAGTGGGCAGGTGCCCTATAGAACCCTTGAAATGTGACATCATCTTTTTTAAGCTCTTTCTACTTATTCCGCCTTTCCCGCGATCCACTGATTTCCCTCTTTCCAATTCATTTTCTCTCTTGTTTCTTTACATTATAATTACTTTTTTATCACAAATTTTTCTCATTTTAAACATATTTTAAAAACATTTTTTAATCTTTTTTATAGTTTAATTGTTTGTTTGTTTTGTTTTGTTTATGTGACGTGCCTGGTGATTTTTATCTTGAGAGGCGCTATATAAAATATTGTTTTCTTTCTTTCTTTCTTACACCCTCACCATCTCGACCGTCACCAGGGCCTGCATAGCGGCTCTTCTCTAATGGAGAGAACCAGGGTTGCTCCACCAAGGTTCTCCAATTGGGAGGGTGGTGGTGACCACAGATGCGCACCCTTGGCCCAGTATTCTCCTCTATGCCTTTCCTTCAGCAGAGCTGAATCCAGCCATACTGGAGAGAGTACACAGAATGAGCATGTCTCTGATTTAGGTGGCTCCTCTGTGGCTCACAAAATCTTGGTATCCATGGCAGCTTCCCATCAGGCAGGACCTTCTGTCTTAGGCTCAAGGAGATGTGCTGCACCCTCATCCACACTTGCGGAAACTGCAGGTCTGCCTACTGAAAGGCCCAACCTACTAGTTAAAGGTCTTCCCATGACTGTGGTGGATACTTATCAGATCTTTAGAGCATGCACCACTAGGAGTCGATATGCCTTAGTGATTTGACGTTCACGAACGAATCAAATCTTTTGAACGGGTTTTCAAAGTGAATGATGAGAGCCGAGTCCCTGTAGAGAGCCGTTCATCTTAACAAACCTCCCCGGAAGTCGGTCAAACTCACCCGCTCAAACCCCACCCACCGCTGTGACGGACGTAGGAGGAACCATAGAAACACGTGTTTATATACATATCTTGGGAGGAACGCTAACCAACTCCGTGCGCCCTCACGGACACCGCAGGAAGACATTACTCTTGATAGCTTTCCTGCAGAACAAAGCTGACTCAAACTCCTTCAGAGTTGATTTTAAGAGGCTTGGTTCCATTCATCTATCGTTGTGACCCGGAGGCATCTGAGGACTAATTTGGTTGCATCGAGGTTTCTCTACGAACCAGTTGCAGTGGGGTCGTCGGCTCCTGGACATTTCGGATCCAATTGGGGTCTCCAAATGGGTGAGGTAGACACAACAAGATAGCGTCTGCATGTGGTTCTGATAATAATAACTTTATAGTTTAGATGCAAACCAAATTCTTTTATACCCAGAATGCACCTCTCTGAAGATACAGAGATTCTGATTCATCATCTCATATTCACATGTAGTTTTCAGACACCCATCTTTTCGTTCCATCCACTCACAAGATCAAAGTTCAAACCATTCATCAAATCTTAATTGTTTGTAAAATAAATTCTTATTTTTTTGCAAACACTGAATGGTTCTTGAATCATAAACAAAGTGTGAACGATCCCTTAATACTTAAAGAATCCTAGAACCTTATAATTAATCATCCTAAGACCAAGCAAGGTGATATTCTATAATTCATGGAGTATTACAGCTATTGGTCACAAGTAATGAGATTAGAAATAAATAGCTTGTAAAGCAAATTATTTAGCCCACATTACTCTACTATTTTACATTACAACAGTAAAGAAAACACTGGGAAACACAGCAGCTGCTGCGTTGTGGATGGGCCCACCCTAAGACAGCCGAGACCAATACGGTTGCTCATGTACGTCAAAGTTATCTTTTAACAGAAGATCAACAGCAACAATCTTCACAAGAAGGCAAAACCGTTAAATGCCAGGGTTTGCATTGACCAAATATTTCCCTGTATTTGACCGTTTATTTTGACAGAAAAAGAATAGAAAGAATTTCCCCATGCATGCAGATGCGCTGACATTTTATTCATAATGCACATCACAGCGGTACCGCAATCAATAAAAGATTCCCATCAGAACATCTGAGCTGGACACTGCTCAGCGCAGCTCGCTGTCAGTGCACACATTAGGTGGACAGTGAGCTGAAGGTGTGGAGAGGGGCTTGGAGTGTGTCACAGAATCAGAGCACATGCAGGAAGATTCCTCTCACTGAAGTGAATGATGTCTCTTTAGAGAGACTTGTCACTTAGAAAATGTTCCCTGATTATGAAACTTAAGCTGAATAGCGCTTGTTCCTGTCTCCAATGTGGTGACGCATCGATGAGCCTGTCTGAGGTAAAGTCCAGAATCTCATATCCTCTTCAGCTCAGAAGCTTTTATGGAGACATCTGATTATGCACAAGCAGGTGACCTGTCATTGGACCTGTGCAGGTTTAATCTTTACATTTAGAATTGGCATACAGATTAAAATGAATATTCATTCATTATTTTACAAGCACAGAGAGCCTCATCAAACTTAACTCACACCATACCTCTAAAACTAACCAGAAGTGCTCTGTAACATTGTACCAAAATGAGGACCAAAAAAATGTCCTCAGTTTGCCGGTAAAAAGCTCGGTCCTCACTTTGATGAATAGACGAGTATTCACACACACGCGCACGCACACACTCACAAACACACGCACTGAACCCATACACACACACACACACACACACACACACACACACACACACACACACACACACTTACACACAAATCTCAGTAACTAAAATAGATGATCCCCAGCTCGCCCCCGATACAGATTAGAGACATGTGACCTACCAGGAGAGTTCTGTGGTGATGAGGCCGGCGAGCAGCGGGGAGAGAAGCTGAAGCACGGGTGAATGGGGTGAAGAGGAATGTAAGACATGATTTCCTCTTCAAACAAGCTGCAAACCAGACGCCAAACAACAGAAGGTCATGTGTAGTCAGGATGGAACATTAACTGCTAGTTGTAGGATGGTACGTGTAAATTTATGAATGTCACATTGTATATATATATGTATATATATATATATATATATATATATACATATACATATACATATATATACATACATTTTTTATAAGTGGACACATCATTATTCAAAGCTAAATGTCACTGGCCAAGTGTTTATCTTCATCAATTCCATGTTTCTGTAATGCTTAAGGATTTATTGATTCTTGTGGCCCTTATTTCAGTAGACCAGGACATTTAATGTGTGGATTGGGATTTTTAGGCTCTTCATGGCCTCACCCTGTCCTAACATATCACCCCATTTTCTCAGGTCAGCTGATGAACTGTTTGTAGGACTGGCAGCTCAAAGGAGACCAAATGTCCAGTCTGCTTTCAGACATCAGACACGGTCTTTAAAAACCCATCTTGTCTTTTTGTCTTTTAACACATTGGCCTTTTCTCCATAATCATACTCATCTGAACTTGTCAGAACTTCTGAAACAATGGTCGTGAGTGCTGCTCTAATCATTGGCAAGTTCACTCATAGTTCCCGGATGTGTTCATGCTCCGCCCATTCTATTAAGGATGCATCAATGCATCCTTCTGTGGACTTGAGACAGCAAAGTATCCCACAATGCATTGCTTTGCAAACCGTTATACTCCGAATGGCAGATGAGAAAGCTCATAACTGTAGTGTTGTATAACAGAAAAAAAGATAAAGAAAAATAAAGTTGTCTGTTATGTAAATAATTGCGTGTAACTTCTAAAATTTGCTGTATGTAAAATTGTTTTAGACTCTTCAGGATCCCTCAAAATGCTAATTAGCTAACCCAGTATCAAAATAAAAGCAGTGCTGCCTTTAATAGCTCTGTTTTGATGAAAAATTAATTTTCCCTTTGTTTAACGGAAGGAAATACTGGTATTTTATCAGTATTGAAGTCCACTGAAGTGGACCACATATTACACAAATAATATGCCTTTATTGTTATTTTGTTATTTAAGGGATAAACTAGACTTTTATTTTTATGTCAAGTCTTTGTGACGCAAATGCTGTCCTTGTCCTCCCATTGCTGCGGTTCATGTGATAGCGTCTGCATCATCAAATGCCGATGGGGGTCAGGAAGTAGCCGGCGCTGCACAAAACCGTATTTACTTTTTATTCTGAGGTTTACGGCTACTGTAATAGCTCAAATCTGGACAAAGATAAACATCAATGCTAATGCCTCCTGCAGCGGCTTTGAGTGACGTATGCTACAGACAGCTCTTCACGGTGTAGAGCTGAGAATTTAGATTTTCTGTAATGATTTATGACAAAATTGCTTGACAAAAAAAAAAAAAAGAAAAACTACGGGGTGAATTTCTGCAATTATCATACAGAGTTTTAATGATCCCTTAATAGTTATCCAATCATTTATTTGATTGGGGACATGGCCTAGGTCATGTCTACATTGTTTATTTGTCCAGTTCATAAAGTATGCTGGAGTGTTTCTTCTTTACACAAATAGACTAAATACAGCAACACCCAGGATTTTCACATCTTGGGGGAAATATACCATTGCAGCTTTTCTCTGACCTAAAAGTTGTAAACATCACAGCTTAGCTACAGATGGCAGGATTTGGGGTCTTATTTCCTGATATTTAGACAACTCACCCCAAACTGGATAACAGCAACTTGACTCTACCACTGACTTGCAACACTGATGTTTTATCTCCACAAATAACACAAGCCTGGATGAGCTTCTGCCGTGCGGTGGTGTTGCTGATGTTAACGGTTAGCTTAAACTAGCCGAGATGACTGCTGCTGATTCCCAGATGTTAAAACAATAACAGCCTTCCCCCCATTAATGATAATTAAAGCGTAAAGTAAAGACTTGTGAAATTAATTTCAGAGTGAATGACTACTGAGCCAAACATCAGGTGTCCTGTATGTGTTTATGCCCCTGGTGACCCATTGGCTTGGGGCGAGAACAGTTTTTTAAATCTCACCTGTAGCTCAGGATTACCACATAATCAGGCTTATACTTACAGATAAATAGCCCATACATGTATGTCTATATTTAGTTCCTACTGAAGTACTACCTTAACAGGATGACCAGGTCTGCATCACATGACAGCTTCTCCACTCCTTGAGTACCTTCAGTCCGAATGTAGTGAATTTTCTCTCTGAAAAATAAAAAAGCCAAATTCTTGTTCATCTACTTCAGCCTTTGTGATGTCACTCATTCAGCATGAGGTCTTCTGTTTCCACATCAGGATCCATCAGGTACATTCAAAGTGAGATCTTTAATCTCAAAAGTGCACAGAGGATGGACTTGCTGAGCTAGGATCACTGTGGTATTGATCAGTATAGAAACAGAACAAGTCAGAGCTAAATGATTAGTTTTTATTGTTTTTATTATTATTTTAATTAATCTTGACTTCAGTACTTCTAAAAAACAATTTCTGGGTTCAGTCTCTTGAAGAGGAGGCCCACCTCAGATTGTGGTTTTTGCTCAAGCTGGGCTGCCGTTCCAGCAACATGTCAAATATGTTGGGCTGCCTCAAAAACCCCACAATCTTGTCATTATAGGCTGTACAAATAAAAAAGAGAGAAGCAGTCAGACGCTATAAGACATCATCAAAAATAACCAAAATGGCAAGCAGATATCAAGCACATCAGCACAAGTCCCCACCCTGCCCTGCCAGTGCCATTGCCATTAATCATGTGGTCCCACCCCTCCTGCACACTCTCCTGCTGGCGTCAGGTTATTATATATTATAGCTTATCAGCTAATAATCTCACTTGTACTGGCACAATGAAATAAACAAATCTTTTGAACCTTTGGAACCCCCATGTGGTCACTAAGTGGTTTTGTGTTATTTTTGTTATTATTGTGAAATACATAGCAAAAAATGTAGCTAAGCCAAAATGTCTGCAACTTTGATCAAGTGATGCAAATTCTTCCAACATTAAAAGAACTGTAGATATTTAGGGAGGTTAGGACTATGGACTGAGAGTTATCAGCCAAAATGTATTTTCATTTGCAACAGCACACCTTAGATGTTGGGGTGTAAGAATTTTTTACTCAGGGATTTTGTGCATGTTTCTACTTGTCTGCAATGTTAGTTGTTAAATAGCAGTTTTAGATTTTGAAAGCCCAACAGTTTTAGTTCAACACATCAAAATATTACATACTAATACTTATTTTAAAGAATCATAAAAAAATCTATAACTTGTCAGAAAATTACCAGACTTATTTGGGATGTTTATGTCGACATCCAGAATAAGATCCTTCAATTCTAATGACCCTCAAATGTATTTCTTTTTAATACAAAAAATCGAACTGCCATTTCAGTAATTACTGATGATGTTTATTAAATTCATAAAAAGTAATTCTTTATGAACACATTTCCAAAATAATATTGGATCATCATGAAGACATTTAAAGTCATATTTAGTAATTTTATTTTTCTAAATTAAATGTTTTTTCAGTACAAAAAATATATTGCGATTTCGAACAAACAATTTTGGCATTGCGTCATTTGTACAATCTTCAGTATTTTTGCAATTTTCTTCCTCACAATTACTTATCTTTATTTATAGATCATATGTACAAAGTTTCAAGTTGATTTTTTGTAATATAGCAAAACATCTAATTAGTCGGACATGAGTGGAGCCAATACAATATTGATGCAAAATCATCCAGGGATCAAGTACATTTAAAAATTTTGAATCTGCAACTTATGGTTTGGGAGTTATTAGCAAAAAATTAGGGATGTCAGAAAATTGCGATATGGCAATATATCGCGATATTTTTACTTCAATATTATATTGATATTCAGAAACTGTGTATTGAATTTTTGGAAGAATTTACAAACATTTCTGTATTTTCTTTTCTTTTGGTTCATTTCAAATGCCGACTACTCGTTGGCTGCAGTGTGCAATGGGTTTTGTTTCCACCATTGAACTGTAAATCCCTCTATTATGGTCCTGATACTTCGTGTTACACATGTTATGTATCAGTTTGGCCTGTTTATTGGAATTTCCTACAATAATTTCAGTCTAAAAATTGCTAACATCGTCTGGCTGAATGTATCGCAATATACATTTTATCGTATCACCTCCCCTGTATCGTGATACGTATTGTATCACCAGAATTTCACCAATACACATCTCTAGCAAATATGCATTGACTTTTGCAATAGCGCCACCTATGTTCTTTGGGATATGGTTTTATTATTCTGTGTAGCGGTCAGGATTTTCTATCAGATGGCTATGTTAGATTTTTCCCGGCATACCCTGATTTTTGTGCCCATGTCCATTTAGGGGGGCACAATCAATAATAAATAATGAAATATTATGAAAAATCCACACAAAAACAATGGGGTTCCCTGCCCTTTGGGCTTGGAACCCTAATTAAACGGCCTGCTGTATGTGTGATCAGTGACAGCTCATCCCAAACACAGATCAGGTGTCATGTTAGGCGTACACAGAGCAGTAAGCTGCTGTGGGTCAGTGTGATACTGGCTTCGAATGGCTGCCACGAGGCTGTTTCCAGGTCGAGCCAATAGAGAAGCTCCCCGACTCCTGGATACTTCGGAGGCCTGAGGACAAACAGAGAGGACTGTTCAGCAAACACGAAATAATGAAGAGCAGTTTTTTTGCAACAGCAATGAATGTGTTTTAGAACATCAGCTCATACTAGTGCAGGAGCAGTGAGCACCACTGTTATTGTTGTTGGAACATCTATGTTTAAAATGCAGCATATAGAACATACATATATGCTAATAGAAAGCAGTGTACTGTCAGTGAATGGGTGAATTAGGCTCTATACGTGTTAATTAGTAGTTGTCAGATCAGGTCGAGCAAGTACCTCCCCAGCGCTGTAGCTGCGTAGCCTCTGCAGATGCTGGCGGTGGGCCAGGTGGCCGGGAAGCCGGCCATTCTGCAGCGGAATCCGAGGGTCGATAAAGGTCGTGGCTCGACTATTGTGATCTACAAAAAAAGACTAAAAAGAGAAAAAAGACAAAAAATGGCCTGAAAAGTTAAAGTACCAGAGTCATCATCACACACTGGTGAATTACATCTCTGTATTTGACCCAGCCCTGTGGGAAGTGGTGAGCTGCAGTTGTGGCTGTGCTCTGGAACTATTTGGTGGTTTAACCCCCCAATCCAACCCCTTAAAGCTGAGTGTCAAGCAGGGAAGCCCATTTTTAAATCATTCACTGCCATTGATGACTAAAGTCATCAATTTAAATTGAACCGCTTGCTGCCATTGACGATTAAAGACCTCAATTGTGGTTTTTAACAAAGTGCTAAACAGGGCACCTTCAGAGTCAACGTCACAGGTCTAAAGTTTATTTTTAAATGTGTGTGTTACGTGTCACTTGATCTAGGAAGCAGTCAATTTATGAATTAGAAGATTGTTTTGGGACGGCGTTATGCATAAAACGAGGCGCTAACCAGAAAAGCTGCAGCTCACACTTCAACAACAGATTGTGAAAGAACAGAAAAAGCTAGAAACACATGGATTCTTTTGGATGTAGGAGGCAAGTCTGCTTTTTCCTTTGGTATTTTTGGTGTTTACATGGTCATAGAGCACAATGTTCTGTGACTTTAAAAAAAACAGTAAAAACGCTGGCATTCAGGGGCTTTCTGTTTCTGAAAACGGCTGGCAGCCAATGAGTTATGGTCTTTGGTATGACCCGACCGGGATTTGAACCCCAATCGCCCAATCCAGGGCGGACACTAGGCCACTGAGAAGTTTAAACTTTGCATTACTCAGGAGCAGCAGGTGTCCGTGACCTCTGTTGGTTAAACATCTTGAAGATATGCAAATGTCTATCCATGATTCTGTTAATGTCTGGAATTGTTTTGGAAGCCGTCCTACCTTTCCCTGAGGATCCGTTTTAATTTCCCAGCCTCTGGGCAGCTCCAACTGTGTGTCTGCAAACTTATTGAGAAAAATGACCAGATCTCTGTTATGTTGGTAGCGTTCAAAGTTCCTGGCATCACGACGCACTTTCAAGATCATGTGCTTCACACAACTGCTGCTGGTGAACATGCGGTAGGCTGCCTGTGGAGAGAAAGCATGCAAGTGACACAGTGAAACTAACTCTTCATCTGGTTTAATGGCTTTTTCATCCATTTTTAATCAGACAGCTGGAGTCACATTAGACCCTAGTAGAGTTTGGTCTACACAAAGATGCCATGGTGGACTCAATGAAGAAGCCCAAACCATCAGCCCTCTACCTCTGTTTGTGCTGGTATTTCATTGTTGCTTTTCATCTAACATGGAGCTGTGCATTATGGGTAAACATGTCTACTTTAGTCGGGGCAGCAGTAGCTCAGGTGGTAGAGCAGGTTGCCTCATGATCGGAGGGTAATGGGTTTGAATCCAGCTCCCGCCAGGGGTATCCTGCTGTTGTGTCCTTGGGCAAGACACTTCACCCAACTTGCCTGTGTTAGTGGTGGTCAGAGGGGCCGACGGCGCCAAATGGCAGCCTCGCCTCTGTCAGACCTCCCCAGGGCAGCTGTGGCTACAAGTAGCTTACCATCACTAGCAGTGTGTGAATGTGAGAGTGTGTGAAAGCGTCTTTGGGTGTCTTGAAAAGCGCTATATAAGTTCAATGCATTATTATTATTATTATTATTAATTTAAGCTGACAAAAATGCAATGTTCCAGAAGTAATCTACTTTAATGTTACAGCTACACAAACATAAATCCGGTTGCTACTCACAATAAACCATACTTGGTAAGCTATTTTCTTAATCTGCTGGCATGAACTTTGACCTTAACATGTTATTTGAGGTCTGCTGAATCTGAGATGGAACTCCCAACTCAGAGTGAAATTGCACGATGACCACTCTAAGACTGGCAGTTCTGCTAAATGTTTTGGACAGATGTTTCTCTCTGAAGAATGATGAACTCCAAAGAGTTCGAAAAAACTTTTAACTCTTCTCAGAATGATTCCTTGGGACTGGGTTAACACACATCTATATGCTCCAGACCAGCAAATGACCAACATTTCTGCTGATGTTTGGTAACCAATAGATCTGATCATCAGCCCCTCACAGAGATCACTTCTGAAATCCTGTTAGCTAAGATAGTAGGTGGCAGCTACAGTTGAGCAGCCCGAAGAGAATAGGGTCCAGATCTAAGAACCGTGTTTTGCTAAGCGTCACTCACATAGTTGCTGTGCAACACAGTGAAAAATTCTGGGTGTGTGATGAACTTGACAGCAGGTGACTGGAGAAGATTGGTGACCTTTTGGTGATTGACAGGGGAGGCGGGCCCTGCAGACGAGACAAAAAATTAATCAGTAAGTCTGATTTTAGTTTTAATAACCAGTGGAGGTTGCACTGTGCTGGATTCCGTCCCACATCATTTAAATAGCAATAATAACAACATGTTCTGACTGCACATTACTGATGAACAGCAGCATTTACTCTGTGAACAAACAGCTTCTGTTTGATGTGTTGTCTGATCTTGATCCACCCTGCATGTGAACATATTCATCAGACAAACCAAACCATGCAGACTAATAAAAAAAGCTTATAAGCCACTTTTAATCAAAATTACCCAACTTGATTTTGACTGATTAAACATAGAGTAAATAATAAAAATATGTGATTTTTTGGAAAACGTATAAAAATGGTGTTATTTGAGTTTTCTGCTCTGTCTCCTCATTCCCTAGTAAGTCATGACAGATAGCTGTTCATGCTGAGCCAGGATCCTCTGGAGTTCCTTCCCGTTAAAAGGGATACTAGTGATGTGTCGGTCAGGAATGAAATGGCTCTGAGAGCCGGCTCGTTGATGTGACCGATGGGAGCCAGCTCCCTCTTGGAGGAGTCAAAAGGTAGTTTTCCAGGAGCACTACTCAGAGTAATTTGGATCGGTGCAGCTCGGCCCGAGCACTGTTTCCACAAGCATGGTTCTGTGTTTCTCTAGCTCTGTGCATCAGGTTGAATAAAATAGGTTATTTAAATGATAAACATTCGATATAATGTAAGTTGTAGATCATTTTTATGCATAGTTTTGTATAATTTCTGGTGATAAATTTATTTAGGAAACAAAAATGTGAGGAGCCGTTTGAGAGCTGAAAGAGCCGGTTCATTTTAGCGAGCCGAGCCGTAACAACCGCTTCTCTTAAAAGGGCTGGAGTTCCCATCAATAGCCCTTTTTACAAGACACACTGTGCTGGCAAATCGGCGTAATATTACCACAACGGGGTGTCTTATAAACGCGCCTTGCTGGCATTGGCGATGCAAAAATTTTGTGGCCTTCAGTCCGCCTCGTTTGGTAGTAGGGTTGTCATGATACTAAAATTTCAAACTCGATTCGATACTTGAAAAAAAAAACTCGATACTCGATTTCGATACTATTTCAAAACACCCATTTATCGAACAAGTTTATTCAAAAAATAACATTCCTCAATTTATGTTACAAAAATTAAATGTTAAGAATTAAGTGTGTAAAGTGCTTAAACCTTTCAAGTATCAGCATTTTTTAAAACGTGCATACAAAAACTGGTGAAAGTTAACACTTTAAATCATGAATTGTCTCACTATATATACACTATTTGCAGAGTGATGTTTTGCTGCTTAAACTCTGTTTAAGGTGCATTTTTGTCATAAGATGTAATGCCATACGTTTTGTTCTGTACTTTTGAACAACTCTGTTGGTCAATAAAGGGAGAAAACAAATTTCTCCACAGTAGGACAAAGGTACATCTACCTGTAATCTTAATAAAAACAGACTGGCGCACGGCAGTGACGTCATTAAAAGCGCCGGTTAGATTAGCCGCGGCTAGTCTGTTCACGCCTAGAAATCCCAGACCAGACCCGCTCCAAACGAACAGGGGAATCACGTTAATGATTCCTAACAAAACCTTTCGACATGAAGATGTTTTGGTGCAGATAATGTCTTATTTCGAGGCTGCACCATGGGTGCCCGTCCGCACCCTTTATATGGATATATACGCAGACGGTGATTCGCCGATGGATCTAAATACCCCGGGAATCCAAGTAGCACCAAAGTTGTCAGCGTGAGTAAACAAACGTACTGCATGCTAGAAATTAAGTCCGGGTTGCAATAAACGGGAGATTCCTTTAAGCACATAAGCGTGAATTTACAACTACGTGTCGGACTTGGTATGCCAATTAAGTTGGGCTGTGAAGCGCCTCCCAAATTCGCTGTTTATGTTTTTGTTTATTTATTTGGCAGACAAAACTTGGATTGGAGACAACTCGCGTGGGAAATTGCAATGTAGCCGTGCGGCGTCTTCTTCTTCTGTTTGTCTGGGAGGCGGAGGCTGCTTTACGGCATCTGGCTGTCGTGCGTGTCGGTGTACTTGAAGAAGGCTGTGTATAATAGTCCATAATATCGATACCACAGGGATGGAATATCTCATTTAGATACCACTTTTAGTATCGATTTATATCTAGGTATCGATTTTTTGACAACACTATTTGGTAGTAACATTATGATAATTGTTTGTCTCATGAAGGGCGATTGCGCATGTGTGCAACATAGGTAGGTGTCATGATGACGTAGGGAGTTAATCCCGAGCTCTGGACGCCAATTTAATTGAAAATGAAAGGAAGTGCGGGCTGTAAGTTTAGCTTCTTGAACAAATTCAGCTGAGATGGCAAACTGGAGCACTGCTGTCTTCTTGGAGCTTCATTCCATCCATTAGAGCTGGAGCTCAGATCACCAGAGACTGCATAGGCACTGTGGTCACATTTAGGAGCAGGAGCAACTTAATGAGTGCGACTTTGTTCGCAATAAAAAGCAACTTATGTCCAAGATAAACGGATGTCTGCAGCAGCACAGTGACTGCCCCCCTTACCCCCCTTATGTCACGATCGCCTAATCTTTTATAAAAAGGACACGATTGCTCCACATCACTGCCACGGTGTGACCACTTATAAATGACCCAAGGATCTCTGATGCCGCCAAGGCATTGTGTCAAATTGACGGCATTGTTTTATATATAAAAAAAAGACTACTAAGGTGTACTAGGAAATGTAGCTTGCTTTTAGCACCCCCTAGAGCACATGTGTCAGACACAAAGCCCGCGGGCCACATCTGGCCCGCAAGATAAATATCAAAACTATATTAAAACTGACCCGCTGGCTGATTTTACCGCAAAGACTAAAACTCCCATGATGCTTTGCTGCGTTAGCGTGGAGCCGAAGAGCCCCTCCTTTGTGTTTTTTCCAGCATCTTCTGCCGGTGTCTGCAGCTCCGCTGTCTGGGACAAACTAAACACTCCTCTCACTCAGCGCTGAGTTCACTCAGCTATTTTCTGACGTTGAAGCCAAGAAACGGAGATTTTAACCGCTCAGTAATGTGTTCATGACTGAAAGAGAAAGTTTTCCAACTGACTTCCAGACAGCTGATATAACTCCAGCGAGCAGCGACACACTCAAATCAGCATGACTCTGTGGCTGCTGTCGTTTTTTTTCCCTCCCCGACACACAACAACGTGGTCAAGCTGCTCAGACATGTTCATCAGCACAAACCTATGTGAGCACCTGTTGTCATCTAATGTTGTCATTATTATGATGAAGATGAACAAAACAACAGGAGTCTCCTCCTCAGCTCAGATCAACCCCATGATGCAGGTATCTGGCTGGAACAGGTGAGCATCACAGTAAACCAGTGGAGCAAACTGAGCTTTAAATATGTTGGTTTTATGCTCTTTTTCTGCTCCAAAACATGAAAGTTAACAGGTGAGATGTTGCATTTTCATTTCAGATAAAATAATATTTTTATTTTGTTGTTGGCCTGTGAGAAAAGATTTAACCTACAGTAAACAGGAAGTGGAAAGGCTGCAGATAGATGAATAGAATAGAAAATCCCTTTATTGTTCCTCAGTGTGGAAATCTAGACGTCACAGCAGCGATGACACGTGTTACAGGAGAAAAAAGGAGAATAAAAACTAAGAAAAAAAACTAAGGAAAATGAATAAACAAGAAAACATAAATCCTGAATAGATTTAAAAAGTGCTGAATATACCACAAGTAATGAATACTACTGATGCGTTTCATTTAAATTGACTTGTTCGTGTGTAATTTGGTTATTCCACATTCAGTGTTAATGCAAAAATAAGTTTGTTTCCAAATTAAAAGGTCAAAATATCATATACGATGATAAAGAAAATTTGCCGTCACTTTTTCAAAAAATATTAAATTTGGCCCACGACTTCATCCCAGATTTTCATTTTGGCCCAGTGTGAATTTGAGTTTGACACCCCTGTCCTAGAGTCTGTTATTAATTCACTGTAGTTACACCAATATTTAAACATATTTCCTCACTGTGAGTTTGTCTTGATTTGGCGCTATAGAAATAAACTTAATTGAATTACTGTGAAATTTTATTCTCTTTTATCATATATTTCTACTCTTGCAAAACACTTTAGCCCAACTTCTCAAAAGATTATTGGAATGGTGTGTTCTTTGCTTGTTGTGAAGTGATTTAGGCAGACCTGTACCTGAGTGGGTAGGCTCAGGGTCACTGTCTGAGCCATGCCCTCCCCCATCCTCCTCTGTAGCCATGGTCCTCTGGATGCTCTGGTACCTGCAGGATGATCAATAGAAACATTCAGATGTCAACCTAACCCTAAGCTAATCTTTCTCCACAAGTATGTTTCTCAAGTTTAAATGTTTATAATTTTCTGTTGTTTTATTAACATTTTTTAGGAGTAGGGGCAGTCTCTTCACAAAAATGTAGTTCCATCCAGTGCAGATTGCTACAAGTCACTTTAGATCCACCAATAATTGAGTAATTCATGACTAAAGTGTGCTGGGGAGTGGCTATGGGTGGGCACCCACTGTGAGCCAGGGCCAGCCAATCAAATGGCTTCCTTACAAAAATTATGTGTGCTTTTTTTACTTATTTAGAGGTGTCCTTTCAGGCCAGCATTGGGGACGGGAGACGTCCTGTCCCCATTGCTGTTCTGCATACGTCTGAACCCCCTCAGCCAAACAATCAACAAGACTGGCCATGGATACTGACTCAAGAATGGAACCACTATCAGCCACCTGCTCTTCATGGATGACATTAAGCTGAATGCCAAAAGTGAGCGAGACATCGACTCACTAATCCACACCACCAGGATCTACTAGCCTGGCCTGCCAGACTCCTCCTCTGTTTAATTCTGCACAGAGAAAGGGTCTGAGAGCTCTCCTATTCAAATAACCCCACCCCGTGAGAATTCTAACCGAGCCAATCAGCGGTGAGTAGCGGACGTCTCACACCACAACACTGAGTTTGACATAAACATGGCGACTGAAGCGGAGTTCGCTGCAGCTCTTTCCTCTGTTCTAAATGACTTGGATGTCTTGAAAACCACAAGTAGAAGCGCTAAAAGCCTTAGGTACTATCTGTTATTTTTACTTGTAACAACATGAACTCTGTTGCTCTGGGCTACTGCTGCATATTCATTCTTGGTCCAACCTTCTGTTGAGCTGCTCCATCTGCTGCATTGAGCCTGAGCGTGGGATGCCATGGCTACACTTGCCACTGTGACTTGGCCTCTGCCAGGTAGTTGTCCGATTGACATGGTCCACGTAGAAAACTCTGCCATGGCTGTCGATACGAGCTTCCCAGTCTGAGGTAACAGAAACAGAGAGTCAACAGGTGTGACTCGCGTTAGAATCCCATTTGAGTATCATCAGTCATATTTAAGTTGATAGACGTGCAAATGTTGACCTCGAAACCAAACTAAAGTGAAATTTAACACTTGATTGTAAAGGCACACACAGCATTTTCTTTAATATCAACAACTTAAATTTACACTTGCTAACAAGATTTCTAGTAATAAAACATTTAGCAGATAAGAGAGGGTATCTTCACAACCACACCTGAGTGGATAACTAATAATTACCATTTGCTGCATGTACTATTATCTAAAGTTCAGGCACGATGTTCTTACAGAGACCCTATAATTCAAGTCTTTTTGTGACTGAAAGCCTCAGAAGACTATAGCTGTTTTTATAGGACCATGGCGTTTTCAAAACAGGATTTGCCACGGCTCCCTGGAGAGGATAAAGCTCGTTTATAAGATCAGACCGTGGCGGTAATGTGGCGCAATCGTGGCAATTTTATTAAAGATTAGGTGATGGAGGCATAAAGGGGGTATGAGGGCGTTCTCTGCACTGCCGCAGACTTCCGTTTATCTTGGACATAACTTGCTTTTTATTGCGATTGAAGCTGTGATCGTTACGTTTTTTTTTTAACAAGCAGCTCCTAAAGGTGTCTGTCTCCATCAGTCCCTGTGCAGACTCTGGTGATCTGAGCTTCAGCTCTAACAGAAAGGCTCACGCAGCGCTGTGGCGCTCCAGTTTGCCATCTCAGCTGATTTTGTTCAAAAAGCAAACCGTATTGCCTGTGTTTATTTTCATTTTCAATAACTTGCCAGCAGGAGCCCCACGTCATCATGACATCTGCCTCTGTTGCGCCAGGGTGCATACGACAGACCATTACCGCAATATTACTACCAAGCAAGGCGGAACGAATGCCGCAAAATTAGCGCAACGCCATGTCGGCATGGCACGTTTATAGACATACCATTGTGGTAATATTACGCCGATTTGCTGGCATGGTGTGTCTTGTAAAAAGGGCTAGCAGAATCTTCAGCCAACCCAGGATCCTGCTGTCATATCAATGGTTGTGTCCTTGGGCAAGAATCTTCACCCTCCTTGCCTGCTGGTACGGCAGCCTCGCCTCTGTCAGTGTGTCCCAGGGCAGCTGTGGCTACACTGTAGCTCAGTGTGTGAAGGGATCCAACAGGGTTTAATTAAAGGCAACTGGACTTCTTTGGTTTCTTAAAAACTTTGTCCTGGGATCATCCTTCCATTTTGCAGCACCCCTCCTACTGCTGCCCGGCCTGCACAGCTGCTTTGTATCAGCTCATTAGTGGCTGGAGAGCATGAAAAGAAGATGCTATCAAGCCTTCAAAGAGAGTGACGAGTCCAGATCAGTGACACGTTTTTCTCCCTCTCCAGGGTTTCTCTGCTTGTGAAAGTGTGATCTACTCTAATGTCATGTTTGACTAAAGCCTCATTTAAACTTCTCCATCTGCGTTAGCGCCAAAACACACAACGCCATTATGAGTTGATGCAAGGGCTGTCCAACAGGCTCACAAAGGGTGACGGAGACATGCCCAAAATTTTAAACATCCTTCAAAAGCGATGGAGAGCGCAAGCTTGTGATAGGACACCGCTTCCTATAAACTTGTCACCAACACCACCGTTGCCCCCTTAAAAGTAAAAACATATTTAGTAACAGACCCAGAACAGACTAAAGAACGCATCATGGAAAAAGTCTGGAAATATTAATGTTTATGTATTCGTGACTGAAGGAGTACAATACGGAACAAATGTGGACATAAATGACGGGAAATGTGGGTTTAGAGGTGGCAACCGCATGAATAGGAGGATGAGAAGGGAAAATTAATCTGTGTTAAAAAGTCTCTGAAATATATAAACACATTAGTAAATATACCATTGTGGACTGGATACATGAGTGTTATGGTGGCAGGATACCACAGAAAGGTGCTACGCCCTCTGTTGTCCTGGCGGGGAATTGCTTTGCAACACTCCGCTGCCTGCGCAGAAGTTCCCATGTGAAAAACTTTCCGATACGCCGTGTGTATCTCTCCATTGCAGAGCTCATGGAGAACATTAAATCATACTTAACCTTCAGCACTTTTATCTTGACTCACAGGAGGAACATAGTAAATGGCGTAAATATGAGTGTTAACAGATTTCTCTGCTTTGTCTCACAGAATCCTGGCTGCAGCAAGAGGGCAATGTTAGTTTAAACGAGTCGACTCCTAATTATTTTAGTCATCATATTGCTCGTAGTACAGGGCGAGGAGGAGAAGAAGAAACCCTTTTTCATTCAGACCTATTAATCAGTCCCTTACCAGTTAATAGTTACAGTTTATTTGAACATCTTATTCCTAGTTTTCCTAATCCAGATTGCAAAACTGTAAAACCACTCCTGTTTGTAGTTTTGTATCATCCACCAGGCTCTTACTCTGGGTTTTTGCTGAGTAGCATGAAGCTGATTCCCCATCAACTGGTCTGAGCTTAAAAGGAGCAGAGAGGTTGTGGCCCCCGGGGCGATCCTCTGCGCCTCTTGAGGGGGGCAGGGACTTTTCTGGTCGCAGTCTCCCTGGGGTCCCTCCGCTCTGGGGCAGCTCCTGGATCTCTGAGACTTGGAGCTCCTTCCATCTCCTACACATCTTTGGGGGAGCAGATCTGTGGCCCTCACACTCTCTATTGGATGCTCCTATAGAGCTCCGGACCCCACGTGACTCTCAGTTAGTGGACGCCATTTTGGCATGCAAAAAAGGTAAACAAACACGGATGTAACCATGAACATGAACGGGATCTGCTTGGATTTTACTTCGTCGGAGTTTACTTCACACTTTAAAACAGAAGAAATCGTTTTATATAGTCAGAAATTAAATAGACTAAACATCTCCGACCCTTACCGTGCCCCTGGGATACTTTTTAAAAACGCCAGAAGCTGTCGGAGCGGCACAACACCGGACCTGGCCGGGCCAGAGGAGCTGGGGAGGAGGTCTGGGACTCTCGACTCTACTGCCCGCTCCGACGCCAGAAGCTGTCGGAGCGGGCTTCTTACCGGCACAACACCGGACCTGACCGGGGAACCCCTTGGGATTTACCCGGAGGAGCTGGCTCCGGCGGCTGGGGAGAGGGAAGTCACGCTACTGCCCCCGCAACCCGACTCCGGATACGCGGATGAAAATGGATGGATGGACGGACAAATAACAGATTTACACGTAAGTAGTCTCGGTGAGACAGATAACAGCAATCCAAAGTGCTTTTTATGTGTGATCTGACAACTGATCAACCATTGCTTAAAAATTAAATACAGCTTAGCCGGTTAATTGCTGTGATCATAAAACACGTAAACGGCAGCACGCAGAACTCACGAGGCAACGTTTTACGTGATGTTTACTTGCTGCTATGAGTAATAAGACAGAAAAAGCCACGCCAAAATAAGTTTAGGAAGGCCACTAAGAATCATAATAAAAGCATTTAAAATAAATACCACACACAGTTGAGGAAACGTTGGTTTAAGTACCTGATATGAAGTGGTCGCTGCATAAGCGAAAACCTTTACTCTCGGGGTCCCACAGTTTCATTTTAGCCCGGTCACTAGTGCGTTTTATTACAATGATCCAACGTTTGCGGCGCTCCGGATCTGGGGAATCCTGTAAATGGTTCATTCCTTATGTCGTCCGCGTCTGTTCTGCATCCTGGGGCACAACAGGAATCTACCATATTTCCCATTTGATTGAGTTTTCTGACAATAACAAATAGTCCAGCTGCCGGCTTCTGCATGCCAATATGGCGCCGTTTCGATTTGAACTGTTGCATGCCGGGAGAAGTGACGTCAACTCCCGGAGCTCTATTGAGAAACCTTACATATACAAGTGCGGGTACGCACACAAGTGGTCACATGGTGCTCTCATAAGTATGGACTTGGGCACGTTCAACACATGTCGGCTGTGGTTGGCACTTAATGCACTTTGATTTATTATCGTGATTGTTCAGCAAAACAATGTTTTTATATTTCCTCATCAGGTTGACGCAGTGACAGCTTGCTCCTGCTATATTGCTGTGTGTCCCTTTTCTTTTTCTTTTTTCTCTCTCTCCTTCTGCAGGTCTAGAAGCAGACTCTTGTTCATCATTGATTGTTTGTCTTTGTGGGATCCCCCCCCCCCCCCCCCCCCCTTCGTCTCTTCCTTTCTCCTTCACCTCTGTCTCCGTGTCTGGTCAGAATTACAAGCATTCAAAAAAACAATAACAAAAAAGTATAAAGTTTCAGGCGTGACACTAAAAGCAGAAGCTTTGATGCTCCACCTGAGAGTAAATCTGTAAGGCTTGTCACCAGCATTCAAACATTAATTCTGTTTGCTTCACAGCCAGACAGGACACGGTAAAGAAAAAAAAAAGGAGCAGGGAGAGGACACCACCTCGCTGGATGATTACTTATTTTGGGTATAGCTCAAACCTGAGTTTCTAGCCAACCTCTCAAGCCTTTTTGTATCTTTTGTGTGTATTTCTAGTTTTGAGTGTCTAATCCCCTACCTGTGTCCAGTTACTCTCACCACATTTCATCTCTCCAGCCATAAACCTACTCTACTCACCTCTGGACCATGCCTCATCCTGCTCCGACATATTGACCTGCTCTTCACCACTTACCTCACATGCTCACCCCTTCTTGGAAGACTCTCAAGCCTGGTCACCACTTTGGATCTGACCAGTCCCTTCTTGAGCTCAAAACCAAACCAAACCTTGAGCTCAGCCCCAGCCCATATTTCCCTCAGAATTCTGGAAGCTACTAATTATCCCATTTCCAGACAACCTCCTCACAAGTCTGAACCGATCCTCACCTCACATTGATGGCACTTCTTTGGTTTTCCTTATGAATATTGTTTCTTTTTTTAATCTTGTCACTTGTGGTGATTCTGAGTGTCCTGGGTCAGGACTATATATATATATATATATATATATATATATATATATATATATATATATGCTTCCAATTGGTAAAATCATGAGACAGCAGGGGATAAACTTCCACTGTTATGCTGACGATACTCACTTATATTTATCCATTTACCGTGATCAACCTAATCGTTAGGTAGATTACAGGCTTGTCTTGAAGACATAAAAATCTGAATGACTCTAAACTTTCTGTTGTTAAATCCAAACATGACTGAAGTTTTCATCTTTGGACCGGAACATCAAAAAGGGAAACTGCTTAGTCAACCACCTGACCTGAACGGCATTAAACCAGCCTACGAGAACAAATGAAAGAACCTTGATGTTATCTTTGACCAGGACATGTCATTCAAATCCCATGTTAAATAAGTTTGTAGAATTTCATTTTTCCACCTCTGGAATATTGCTAAGATTAGAAGAATCACTTCCAGGAGTGATGCTGAAAAACTAGTTCATGCATTTATTACCTCAAGACCTGATTATTGTAATTCATTACAATCAGGAAGTCCACAAAATGTAGGTAAAAGTATTCAACAGCAGCTAGTCTTCTGATAATAATTAAAAGGAGATATGGCATCTCTTCTGCTTTAGCTGCCATATAATTGGCTGCCTGTTAAATTCAGAATACACTTTAAGATCCTCCTTCTCACATATGAAGCTCTTAATAATCAAGCTCCATCATACATCAGTGATCTGATTGTTCTATATGTCCCTACCACAGCACTTTTCTCTCAAACTGCAGGTTTAAAGTCAAAGTCAAGTACCATCAGTTGTCACACACACTGAATGTGTGTGCAAAATTTGTTTTCCACATTTGACCCATCCCCTGGGGGAGCAGCGAGCTACAGTCACAGCTGTGCTTGGGAACCATTTGGTGGTTTCACCCCCCAATCCAACCCCTTAATGCTGAGTGTCAAGCAGGGAGGCACTGGGTCCCATTTTTTCAAAGTCTTTGGTATGACCCGACCAGGAATCGAACCCTGATCTCCCAGTCTCAGGGCGGACACTCTGAGCTGGTCAGTTTACTGGTTCTTCCTAGAATATAGAAACATTTGATGGGACGCAGGTCTTTTAGTTATCAGGCTCCTCTCCTGTGGAACCAGCTCCCAGCTTTAGTCCATGAGGCAGACACCTTGTCTACTTTTGAGACTAGGTTTCAAACCTTTTTATTTGATAGGGCCTATGGTTAAATTCAGATGTTAGCCCAGGTTTAGATGAGTGGGGGAGTAGATGGAGGTGGAGTGTACAGTGGGGAATACAGTCAGTAAAGACGGGTTTCCCTTAGTTCTATAAACTGTCTGAATTACTAGAGTGTCTATCAGCTATCACCAGCTGGCTAGAAGATGACTTCATTCAGTTAAACTCAGAAAAGACTGAATTTCTGATCATTGTCCCTGAGAGCATGGTTCCCCTGATTGGTCTAAACCCTGGTCATTTATCCTCTGCCATCAAGACAAACTTAAGAAATTTGGGTGTTTTTGACCAGTCAATGTCTCTTGAAGGTCACTCAAAAACATTGGTCCGAAACTGTTTTCATCACTTAAGAAATATCTCCAAACTGTGAAGGTTGGTGTCAAAACATGAACTTGAAATGGTCATCCATGTCTTTGTCTCGTCCCATCTAGATTACTGTAACACACTTTTCTCATGTTTTAACAAAAAAGCCCTTGACCACCTTCAATTGGTCCAGAACTCTGCAGCGAGGCTCCTAACTAGAGCAAACAGAAGAGCTCACATCACTCCTATTCTAATGTCTCTGCACTGGTTACCCTTTAGAGTTAATTTTAGAATCCTGACTATAACTGTCAGGGCTCTACATGGTTAAGCTCTTCCCTATATTACTGAACTGTTAAAGTCTTATGCTCCATCCCGAGCCACCAGGTCCACACACCAGAACCTTCTAGAAGTTCCAAAGACCAGATATAAAAGTCGAGGAGATTGCTCCTTCCAGACTGTTGAATACCGACTTTGGAATGATCTTCCTTTATCCTTACATAGTATTGATAGTCTGGACACGTATAAAAAACAGCTAAAGACCATTTTATTTAATGCTGCTTTCACTCAAATCTTTTATTTTCTTATTTTTAACTAAAATTTGTCATCATCTTTCATTTGTTTCATGACATTTATGATCCTCTTTTGAATTTCATGACTTTGTTTTCCTGAATTTAATTTATTTAAGATCATTATGTTTTGTTACGTTGGTCTCTGTGAAGCACCTTGTGATTCTTTTTCTGTGATGAATGCTATTTAAATAAAATTTACTTAGTTACTTACCCTATCATTTGTTTGAACGGAATAAATTAGATATAGGTGTTAACATGTCTCTTTCACTGCAGCAAGTCTGTAATGGAGGCAGAGTGTGCTGCAAAAACTCTTCACTTGGAGATGATGTAACAGATATGTGCTCTTGGGCTCTCAAGGGACCTTAAAGGGATTTCTGTCCTGCATCAGGAAAAAACAGAAGCCACTGGTCTTAGAAGCACTGGGAGCATTGTGGTATGGAGTTTGCTGGAGTATGTGAGGAAAGACAAGTATGTACAATGGTAGCAAACAGAGGACAGGTGGAACATTCGTCAGGTACCCTGGGCTTCACTCAGCACCATGCAGCTGCATCATGTGTCTCACAGCTGAAGGCTGATGAACTTGTGAGGTAAAAAATGGATGTGAGCTCACTGATCAACCGGTTGCTTCTGACACTTGTGTTGTCATCAAAATCGAGTTTTGACTCTTTGGAACTTAAATCAGTATTATTTAAGTTGTTCAGTGAGTCCCAGTCCAACCTTTAATTTAAGGGTGTGGTTCACTGAAAAAATATTATTTCAGATTATAATTGGTCACTCCGAGTTTATTTTCATGTTCATCTTGCATGTTAGTCTCCTACACCTATCTCCTGCATTCGCTTCTGATTAAACTCTTAGAAAATCCTGGCAGATCTACGTCACTCTGTCGCTCAACATTCGTAGACTCACCCATCTTGAACCACGACAGAGAAGGCTGTTGTTGGTTTAGCGTCCAGGAAGCTAACTGTTAGCATTAGCAACTCCACCACACAGCAGAACTCCTCCAGGCTTGTGTTATTTGTGGAGATAAAACATCAACGTTGCAGAGCAGAGTCAGTGGCAGAGTCATGCTGCTGTTATCCAATCAGGAGAGATGTTCACATATGAGGAAATAAGGCTATAAATGCTGCTGTGTGAAGATCAGCTCTGATGTGGCTCACTTCTACTTCCCGAAACGGGTGCACCGGAGCTTTGTTTCCCCAGAGAATGACTTACAAGGCATTCCTAGTAGAGACCACTGCAGTGGTATTTATAAAACAAGTGTTCAACACTTAAGTGTTGGACTATGTTTAAAGAGCAGATGCACGGGGCAGCATGCACACACGGCCACATTCCTAACACTACAGATGTTTAGGATGAGACTCCAGAGTAAGACTGGGAGCTGTGGCTTCTTACTTGGAGGTAAGGCTTGGTCAGTGGCAGCAGGAAAATGATTTGGGTCATGGCTGGGTCGCAGAACTGGAGCATGGCCAACAGGAGGGGAGAAGCCTGAGCCTACGGGACATCAGAGAGACAGTAGGGGATAAATTAGCAGGAGACTGGAGATATCCTGCAGGCCAGAGCTGCCTGGTCAGTGGAGAATGAGGAGAAACTGCATGCTCTTCTGTTACAGTCAGGCTGCAACATTTTGGCCTTGCTCCCCCAGCTTTGTGGTAAGAAGCAAACCGGATCCCTCCAGAAGAGACTGTACCACTAATGTGTGCAGACTTTGTTTGTAGTTACATGACATTTTTCTATTGGAAAATCTAATTACATTAAAATCAAGAACTCGTCTTCTGATTCAACACATTATCACACTGGCACCGTAAGTGCCAGACTACAGGCCTGTGAGCATGATGGTTCCTGTTGTAATTAGAGCTGAATGAGAGTTCACACTAGGGCTGTGGGCATTTGAGAGCTCTGCTCATGTTCCATTCAGTGGCTTTCATTTTAGCACCAAATCAAAGAAACAAGCAAAACTGAAGACTAATCAGCTTCTTTACATTCAGAAGGATGGTGGGAACCCATCCCAAACCCATATGAGTCTGGGCCAGGTGCTCTGACTCCTCTAGACAGGTCCTGAACATAGAAACTGGATCCATTGCAGGAAAACAGGAAAATTGGACAAACAAGATCCAGCTGAGATTTGAACCAGCACCCTCTAATGTCTCTGTTTCCATTAAGTACTCACATTGTCATGTGAACCAGTTGATATTATATAAACCTATATTAAAGTAATATAAACCTATGGTGGCTGAGCCCATTGGCCGTCATCCTAAAAGCTTTAATAGCTGAAACCAAACACGTGATGAGGATGCTTCCTGTGGAAGTGTAGCAGGAGTGGAAGCAGTCAGATGAACCAAGACATCAGCTGGGGATCAGAACGGGCTAAAGGTCTGCTTGATCAGCCAAGACTGTGAGATTTAATAAAATACAGTACAGTCAGAGGAGGTTCTGCTACCAGCTCAGCTTTCTGTCCACACACACACACACACACACACACACACACACACACACACACACACACACACACACACACACACACACACACACACACGGTTAGGGGTTACAGCAGAGGACCTCCTTCTGCTGCACCCCTGGAGCTGGAAGACTGAGGCTTTTCTTTCATCCTCCTGCCAACAGAGAAGGTATACGAAGAAACTAGCATGCAGTGAAGGGTCTGAGATAAAATAGTGATAATTGGTCGTGTGATCCTGCTCTGCTTCTGTTTGACAAACAGGAATGACTTTAGACACAAACGTAAAACAGGAAAGCTTCTCCTCACCCATGCTGCTTTTGTCACTCGGCCCAGCCTCGGCTGGCTCCTCCTGCTCTCCTCTCCTGGTCTCTCTCCCTCTGCCTGTCCTACTGTCTCCTCCTGCATCCTGGCCCTCAGGCTGGACAGTGTCCGGTACAGACTCAAAGGCGCTCTCCTCATCCTCATCTTCATCCTGAGAGGAGAACACGGTGCTGCCTGAAAGTCGATTGCTGTCCACTGAAGAGAGGCGGTTATGGCTGCAAAAGCGTCCCCTTCCCTCATAGCCTGAGTTGCTGTAGCAGGAGGTGCTGTAGCAGGAGGTGCTGTAGCAGGAGGTGCTGTAGCAAGAAGTGTCACAGAACTCACACTCGTGTTCACCTTGAGGCTTGTGGGTGCCTTCACAAACTCTCCTTCCTCCTCCATTACTAGAATCCCCCTCCTCGTTCTCCAGACCAGACGGAGATATCCTCCTCACTGCTGCGTAACTCGATCTTCCTCCGTCACCCTCCAGGAGCTGGTTGAGCTCAGACAGGCGCTCGATGGAGAGACTGCGTGGCAGAGAGCGCCTGCAGCAGGGCCCGGGACACTCTGGTACCTGCAGGATCCCACAGACACATTCATGATAAACAGAATCAAAAGCAGTTGAATCTGAGATTATTTCTGTTAGGATAAAATCCATAAAATTACACCTGCATGTGAGCTTGGAGGGCTGAGGACCACAAAGGTCCAGATGAAGGCTTTAGTTAACGAACAAACACCAAGATTAAACAAACTTTATTGGTATAGCACCTTACAACAACATCACAGTAGAGTAAAAACAACAAAAGAAAAAAGCCTTGGACATAAAAGAAAGTGTCAGCTACCCACAGTGAACAAAAGTGGGTTTTCAGTCTGGACTTAAGAACCACCACCATCACGAAGAGGAAGCTCCTTCTACAGCCTTGGGGCTACAGAGAAAGCTCAGTCTCTATGTTTTGGCTGTGATTAGGGATAAATCTGGTCTGCTGTTCAGTACGGTGGCCCTGAAGTGCAAACTACAAAAACAAACCACTTAACGCAACAACAAATTGAAAACCACAAAAACAAAACACAAACCGGAAAAGGTAGGTACCAATGCTGCAACAACAGGCACTGATTGGATGATGGATCCGTTGGCCTTTTGAACCGGAAGTTGTTCTGCCGAACGTGTTTTTTTTTAACTTTATTTAACAAACAATGAGTATACAACAGTGTCCGACTCATCGACATACATTTATCCGAATACATATGTACATATGTCCGAATCCACAGGCAGGATGCTTACGAGTACGGGTCCTCGCCGGTCTAGCAAGGCCGGGTCCTTGCCAAACCGCTAAGACCGGAACCCAGCGGCTCTGAATTCGGACAGTCTAGCCTTCACCTCTACGGTGGCCCGTAGGTCCCGTCACAGCCGTGGCGGCAGCTACACGCTACGGAAAAATGCTAAAGCTAGCGAAAATCGAGCAGAAATATTAAGGAGCTACAGCAGCTTCACGTCCATCAGCAGCGTTTGTTCACAACCGTTTTCAGGTAAAGTAACTTTGTTTATTCTAGAAGCTTTCAGGACTTACATGTTAACTTTAGATGGTTTCATGTATGTTTTAAGCTACAGAATACAGCAGTTCCGTCAACTCCTCCTGCCTGAAGTTCCTTGGTAGGAGCGCAGGGCACGCAGGGTAGTGAGCGGTGAGGATCACGGCGCCCATCTAACAGCCCCACTGGCTAACTACAGGAGGCAAGCAGCCTCCCTACCTCTCGTAGGAAACACTCACCTAACCCCTAGCAGTCTGCGTCGCCGGCAGCCCTAACCAGCTGTGATTGACCCCTCCCCCGTTACCAGGGCAACTTGTCCACAAACCCAAACCCTTTGGAGATCCTGTTTGGGGTAATACTCAGCAGGCGTAAGGGATTTGGACCTGAAAAATGGAGAGCTGCTCCTGTGTGATTTCCAGTTCTGGCTGGTGAGATCGTGAGGTAGGATTCAACATTTGGAGCCCAACGCGAGGCTCTGATTGATAGGCTAACGGTTAGGTGTGAGGGTTGCTGATCCTTGGGTGATCTAAGAGAAAGACCAGGGCTGCAAAGGGTCCTTGTTAAATTTTTAGGAGGCTGTCTCCAACCCTGTTGAAGAAGGTATTACCACTAGATCATTTTGAGGAAAAGCGGCCCAGATTGAAAAGCCCTAAGAAGAGCCCAGGTGGACTGATTCTACTAACCGGGAGAAGCATGCAGCAGAAGAGTACTCTGCCCGAGCATTCAGAAGAAACGTGCAGCAGGAGAACTCCGTCCGAGTGCTTCTTAGAAGACGGTCTGAAAGACTGGTGGGATGGCCGTGACTGGTAGAGCCACCAGTAACAACCTCGCAGTAACTGCACAGCTATAGGTAAATGACCAGACCCTAGCAACTAGTAGCCAAGTCTGCAATTCTTCTCTGACTTGAAGGGCTAAGAGAGGCTTAGAGTGACAGACGACTCGAGATGACAAAAATGGATGGTGACCAAAGAGTAGACCAGGATAGTCAGGAAGGAGGATCAGAGAATCCCACAGGTGCAACAGGAGACGTGACACCAACACAGGTCATTTTGTATAGGGATCGGTACGATACATGAGGCGATGCAGTCAAATGGGCTTGGAGAGTTGCAACCCCTGTGAGTGACCTGACAAATGAACTGTTATTACCGGCCACAGACAACGTAGGAGTATTTTATTTTGAACCAAAGCAAGAAGGGAGTGAAAACAGGGAGAAAAGGGGAAAGTTAGAGGTCTCTGGGAAAAGACAGGCTAAACCCAGCACATCAAAAAAGTTAGAGTCGGTATGAATAGGGAACTGGCCCCCATCCCAGATGATGTTCGCATCGTGAGTCATAACTCAGGCCTCACACTCCACCATGTTATCAGTAACACATGGACATTGAGGGGGATGGACTGCTGATGTTTAGCAAGACCAGTTAGAAAATTCATGACACAAAGTTCTGTAATGTTCCACTGACGGTCCGCGTACCCTTGGTCGGGAATCACTAATTTAGGAATCTGACACGGGTGAAACCACAGATGGGGATAAGGACCGGTGAAAGAATCACTTTTTATTTCCCGTCAGTTTAAGGCTGTGAAAGCATTTGTAAGCAAATGTTAATAAAACCATTATTGTGTATATACTGAAGCATCGCCAGCTGCGAGCATGTTTGGTTCTAGATTTAGATTCAGAAGAAGGAATCCATCAGAAACAACTTCATACAAAGTTAGGCAACATCACACAGACTGGCTGATGGAGCTGAAAACCTGTTGGGGAAAAAATGTCCTATCTGATGATTTATTTAAACAATAACAACGGTGTCTACACTTCAAGCTGTTTGTGAAAGAACGGAACAGAGTTTCTGGTTTTTCACCTCCCTGCAGGTGCAGCCTCCTGCCTGAAGGGGATGCTGCAGTCATATCAGCGTACAACAGCCTCTCCACGCAGATAGCCCTCGATAAGCTGTGGAGTCTAAAGCTTCTTACCTGAGATGGAGACTGGGTTGTGTCCTCCTCTTCCTCTTCCTCCTCCTCCTGCCCGTCCTCCTCTTCTTTTGAGGTCTTGCGTGGTGATGTTGCGTCACAGTTCACAGTGCTGCTAGTCATTTCTCCATCTCCCGTTGGCTCGTCTTCCTGGCTGGGAGCTCTGGCTGAGGGGAGGCTATGAAGGAGGTGGTGGATTCGGATGTAGTGGGATCTCGGTGTTTCCGGCTCGCCGCAGGCTGACGCGATTACAGTCTCCAGCTCTGACACTGGGAGGGAGCAGGGGCGATTTCTACGTCGGGAAGGAGCTCGGGCTTTGTAGTCTAAAAAGAGAGACTGGCAGGAGCATGGAGCACAGCTGGTTTCTCCTGCCTCTGCTGCCTTCTGGGGGGGAGGCTGACCTATGGAGTTCTCAGTAGGAACCTCCAGAGCAGCAGCAGAAGCACCATCGTGCATTTCTGCTTTCACGGGAGGCTGAGAGTCTGCCTGGCCCTGCGTTTCATTCACTGCCTCTCTCCCATCTACAACCACCTCTCCCCCAGTTTGTCCATCCATCTCCACCGTCTGTTCCTCCTCTGCTGTTTCTCGCTGCATCTCCTCCTGCTGTTTGGTGAAGACCTCCTCGACCCTCTCCACGTCAGGCGGAGATGTAAGGAGTTTGTCTCTTACTGTGCTCTCCTCCTCCTCCTCCTCCTCCTCCACAGCTCTCTGCTCCATTTGTGGAGACCCCTCGTCTTCCTCCCGTTCAGCAGGTGGTACGTCCTGGTGTGTGGGGCTCTCAGTCTGGGGAGGGCAATCTAGGGGGAGGTCAGGCATGTCGGGGCCCATGCTCAGTGTATCATCGTCAGGTGCAGCAACAACATGGTTGACTTCTACTAGATTCCCTTCTACAGGGCAGGGAGGCTCCATGACAAGAGAAACCTCCTCATCATCTAAGGGCAGAAAGAGAAATTGTTAACTTTCGGGTCATTTCTTTAGAGCAACAATGTGTGATGTTATTACCGTCAAATTCTGTGTATCACCTTCACAAACGGACCCTTTTTCATTAATAATTCTCACCAAAGTCCACTCTAAATATTCCTGAGCTTGAAATTTTCGTTGTCGTCTCGTCGTCTTCCTCCGCTTATCCGGGTCTGGGTCGCAGGGGCAGCATCCCAACTAGGGAGCTCCAGACCGTCCTCTCCCCGGCCACCTCCACCAGCTCCTCCAGCAGGACCCCAAGGCGTTCCCGGACCAGATTGGAGATGTAACCTCTCCAACGTGTCCTGGGTCGACCCGGGGGCCTCCTGCCTGCAGGACATGCCCGAAACACCTCCCCAGGGAGGCATCCAGGAGGCATCCTGACCTGATGCCAAAACCACCTCAACTGACTCCTTTCGATCCGGAGGAGCAGCGGTTCTACTCCGAGTCCCTCCCGAATGTCCGAGCTCCTCACCCTATCTCTAAGGCTGAGCCCGGCCACCCTACGGAGGAAACTCATTTCGGCCCCTTGTATCCGCGACCTCGTTTTTTCGGTCATTACCCAAAGCTCATGACCGTAGGTGAGGATTGGGATGTAGATCGACCGGTAAATCCAGAGCCTGGCTTTCTGGCTCAGCTCCCTCTTCACCACGACAGATCGGCTCAGCGTCCGCATCACTGCAGACGCCGAACCAATCCACCTGTCGATCTCCCGATCCCTCCTACCCTCACTCGTGAACAAGACCCCGAGATACTTAAACTCCTCCACTTGAGGTAGGACCTCTCTCCCAACCCGGAGTTGGCAAGCCTCCCTTTTCCGGTCGAGAACCATGGTCTCAGATTTGGAGGTGCTGATCCTCATCCCAGCCGCTTCACACTCGGCCGCGAACCTACCCAGCAAGAGCTGAAGGTCAGAGCTGGATGAAGCTAGGAGGACCACATCATCCGCAAAAAGCAGAGACGAGATTCTCCTGCCACCAAACTCGACACACTCCACACCACGGCTGCGCCTAGAAATTCTGTCCATAAAGGTAATGAACAGAACCGGTGACAAAGGGCAGCCCTGGCGGAGTCCAACCCTCACCGGGAACAGGTCCGACTTACTACCGGCTATGCGGACCAAACTCACGCTCGTTCAAGCTCACGGGACGAGTGCTAGATAGAGTGAGCTTGAAATTTTTCATTTTTGTATACATTAACTGTGGTTGACGTTCCACAGACATGTGTCATGTAACATGTGACATGGGACATTCAAGATATAATGCTGCGCGGTTTGCATCTGCACTTTGATATGAAAGCTCTCCTCCCCATAAATGTTGGTTCTCTCCAAGGCAGCCTTGCTGGTTTGGGGGAATTCTGCTCCTTGGGTTGCTTGCCCTTCTCTAACTACACATGATTACTTGATTGAAAGTTGAAAGTCATTTATGACTGTGGCGATGCACGCATGGCCGTGGGGAACAGGGAGACGATTGACACAGCATAGGTGCAGCAGGTGCGGCAGACGTGTTACACATGGCAGAAGCAGCAGCACTGGCGCCAGAAGACAGCAACTGCCACAAAAGACTGTTCAGGACACAGAGCGAGGGCTCTCTGATCCCAGAGAGGGACTTGCAGAAAGCTGGTGTGTGGTGTTTGAAGTGTGTGAGCTACTGTAGCTGCAATACCTACTCTGAACTGCGTGGCGCTAAGGAGTCAAACATTTTTACACACTAAGATCACATTTGCAGTTCCTAATCAAAATCATTCAGGTATTTCTGTTCAATGGGACAAAAAGGACTTTTAATTAAAGAGAACACATATGAAGAGCTTGAATTTGTGCAGCACTACTAACAATTATCATAAAACCATCTGAAAACATTGGTGTACCTGGGTGAATAGAAGAGGTCAACTCAAAGCAGAACAGCAGCTGGCCACAAACATGATCTGTTGGTAACCTGCGACCCAGAGAATAACTCACAACCCGATTTCTGTGGATGAAAGATGAAACCAAAGATATTAGCTCATACTGTCAGGAGAAAACTGTAGCAAACAAGTGTAGGCTGTGTAAAAGCAGGTTCTAGATGGTGATGGGCTCTGTGGGAACACGTGAGTTTACCCAATGGCATGTTTTTCTAGCAGTCTTTGAACAGGAACAGACAGCTTTCCCAGGAAACGCTTGATGATGGGCCGACTCTTGGCAAACTTGTCCTTCACCTCAATCTCCAGAACGTCGGTGGGCAAAGACACAAAGTTAAACCTCTGCAGGAAAAGGTCAAAGCAGAAACAACACATTACTGTCATTGCCGGTGGTGGCTGGCCCGTAGGGGGCGCTAGGGCGCTGCCCCACCAGTCTCACAGGAAGAGAAAGAAGATAGGAAACAAAACATGACATTTAAACTAAACAATGCATCATACAGACTATAAGTGCTGTGTATAATCTGCATTTAAGTGTAGTTTAAAAGTGTTGTTTACACTTTTACCATGACCGAATCGTCTTGGGACGTATTTCCTTTTCGCTACGCTATACGCTATAACTGGCATCCCCCCCCCCCCCCAATATAAAGAATAGGAGAGCCTTTAGGCACAGGCATATAGCGACCGCGAAGACATGCACAGAAGACCGGCAGGTAAGTGGCACCAGAGACACTCCAGCAGGTAAAAAAAAAAAACACAAGACAGACAAGAATCAGCTCAGAGTGATGTTGGATTTTCACAGATCCTTCCAATATTTTATTTTTGTTTAGTTTGTTTTTAGCTGTTTTAGCTGACAAGTTTCGGCTAATGCTGTAGCTTTTCTCAGAGCGCTGCCGATGTTGGTGATGTTACTTCCTTCTCCGATTATCTCCGCGGGCAGTAGAGGGCGACATCGTCCTCTGCTGCCTACAGATGAATAGAGAAGAAAGAAAAGAAAAGTGTAGAAAGCTGCATAACATTTTTAACTACATGTCTGTGAACATGGGGATTGGTTGGCTGCATGTGCAAGCTGGTTAAGGTTAGGATGGGGGTGAGAGGAAGGTTAAATTGCAAGAGGGTGAAGGTCACAATTCGGTCAAATGTCCGTTTTACGGCGAGCATCAGATACGGATGCTCTGGCACAGCGCGTCGGCTCCCGACCCACAGGGGCTCGTCACCTGCTGTCTTTTCCGAGGACTGCACCTTGTCGGTCATTATCACGTGACGGCGACTAGTCGATGGAAGGCATAAAAAGTCACTACAGAGCAGTGAAGTCGACTAGTTGGTACAACCCCTAGTGTGTGTGTGTGTGTGTGTGTGTGTGTGTGTATTCAGTTCAATTCAATTCAGTTTATTAATACTTTAAAAGAAAATAAAACTATTCTAGCCATTATACATTAGATGATTCTCGTTAACATAAACAAAATTTTCATATTAAAGAAATTAACACATTTTTTTACAAATTTCCCAAAAAAATAAAGAAAGAAAAAGAAAAAATGTCAAATTTTAAGCCATTATCAAGTTTCTCTAAATAATGATAAAAAAGTCCACGTTGAAGAGAATGTGTGGACACAGGGTCTTAGGAAGTTCAAATATCAGAACACAAAGCAAACTCTCAAAACGTAGACAGCCTTACGGCTTATTATTATTTAGAAGCTTAGCCTGGCTCATCCTCTTCTCACGGAGGCGGTGTAAGTAACTTACTTTTCACAGAGAGTCATCACACCTACATTCCCACAGTAAATAGGAAGAGATGAACTTTACTTGTTTTCTCAAGATACTTCAATTTCATTCCAGAATGTCCTTTGTCTCTATTTTCTTTTCTTGAAATGTTTTTTCTATGCTTTTTGCAAATAAGTCAGTAGAATGGTCTTGACAGCTTTGACCTCTGCATAAACAATAAGTGAACAGATTATGTTGATGTGTTGCAAACAGCATTAGCTACGCCCACAGCAGAACCAATAAGAGAGGATTGGTTCTCCAAGAATGTGAAAATCAATTGGTTGATCTAGTTTTCCACAATGGAAAACAGGATTGTCATGGATCCTTTTCATCCACTTACTCTGCCTTGGAAACCAAAGAAGCCCCCGCCTTCAAACACACACACACACACACACACACACACACACACACACACACACACACACACACACACACAGACACACACACACACACACACACACACACACACATACACACACACACACTCACTCACTCACTCACTCACTCACTCACTCACTCACTCACTCACTCACTCACTCACACACACACACACACACACACACACACACACACACACACACACACACACACACACACACACACACACACACACCCCAACCCAACCCCTTTCTGGGGTCGGTTATCCTACAAGATCATGAATTGAAAGACATTTCCATTAAATTTCCAACATTGGGAATTCTGTAGAATGATAAGAGCTTGGATGAGGTGTCTAGATCTATAAAAGGATTTTGAATGAATCAGAATAAACTTTGCTGCTGTCGCCTCAACGTCCTGAAGCATTGAAATTTGTCTCTGCAGCAAAGCTTGACCAAGGGTTAAACACGCAGACATGCAGAACAAAACATAGGCAGACCACGAGAGCGGCCATCAAGACGCTTATTTGCAGTGGAAAAGGGAAAACTCCTTGCTTCAGAAGCCTTTTTTACAAGTCACACAGTGCCGGCAAATCGGTTTAATATTACCGCAACAGCGTGTCTTATAAACGCGCCATGCCGGCGTTCGTTCCGCCTCGCTTGGTAGGGGAGTTAATGCCGAGCTCCGGCTGGCAAATATTTCGAAAAAGAAAGTAAACACGAGCAGTAACTTTCGCTTTTTGAACAAAATCAGCTGAGATGGCAAACTGAAGCACCGCTGCGCTCCATGAGCGTTACTCTGTCAAAGCTGAAGCTCAGATCATTAAGGGGACTATACAGGGACTGATGTGGACCTATAGGAGCAGCTTGTTAAAAAAAACTAACGATCGTGACTTTAATTGCAATAAAAAGCAAGTTATGGCCAAGATAAACAGCGAAGCAGGGATCCCCCCCCCCCCACCCCACCCCTCTTATACTGCCATCACCTAATCTTTTATTAAAAGGACATGATTGCGCCACATTACCGCCACGGTCTGACCACTTATAATCAACCTGTCCCTGATGCCGCCAAGGTGTTGCGGCAAATTGACTGCATTGTTTTGTAAAAACGGCTGGAGAGAGCCGCAGCATCAGTGCGCTCGATCCTCAGAAATGGGAGGGAGGCCTAAAGTGGAGGATGCATTGACTCCTATATGGTTCCATGGCCTTCACTAGGTCACAGTTCCAACCAGGCTAAAGGGGAAGACAGGGTTTCACAGCGTCTGTCCACATTCCCTCGGAGGGGAATTTTCTCTTCAGCCTCAGACTGAAGACTCAAGGGCACCAGATTCTGATAAGAGGAATTGTTTTGGGACAGGAAGAGATCCATTTTCTCCCTGCCTTACAGTTCTGTTGGTCTCGACTTGTCTAAAAAACCGAATAATGAAAGAAAGAAGCCCAGCTCAACCGGGACAAAACTGAAGTTTTAGTTATCTGCCCAGAGAGAGAAACTTTTACCAAAACTACAATCGATGTCTTTTAATCCATCTTCACAAGTGAAGAACCTGGTCATGATTTTCAACTCTGAGCTGACTTTTGTCCCCCACATTAAAATCATCACAAAAATAGGTTTTTATCATTTCAAGAACATCGCCAGAGTCCGCCCCATTCTCTCTCGGGCCAATACGGAGACGTTGATGCATGCTTTTATCACCAGTAGGATAGACTACTGCAATGCCCTGCTTTCTGGTCTTCCCAAAAAGAGTACTTCAGGTCTACAACTTTTACAAAAGTCAGCAGCTTGTGTCCTGATGAAGATCAGGAAGCGGGAGCACATCACTCCGGTTTTTTTAGAATCACTGCATTGGCTCCCCATATGTTTCAGGATCAATTTTAAGACACTTTTAATGGTTTTTAAGCATCTTAATGGTCTTGGCCCGTCTTATCGCTCACAACTGCTTGTACCATATGAACCCTCGCGGTCCCTGCGCTCCTCTGACAGCCAACTCCTTGTCATTCCTAAAGAATGGGTATGGGGGAGGTTGAAACATGAGAAAATGTAAATTTTGTTTGTGTGATTGAGGATAAAACATGTTATAGGAAAATGGCAATGACACTCAGTGTAGGGAAAATATATATATTTTTTTGTTTTATCTTTCTTGAAATTTGATTTGGGGGGGATTATATAAGCTACCAGAGCTTCGTTCCCTTCCCATTGAACATGTTCTACATATGTATATGTATGTGTGTATACATATATATATATATATATATATATATATATATATATATATATATATATATATACATATATATGTATATATACATATATATGTATGTGTGTATATATATATATATATATATATATATGTGTGTGTGTGGGTTTTTTTTGGATACTTTTTGAATGCTTTGGGTTGTCTATTGATTTGCATGCATGTTCAATAAAGAAAGAAAGAAAGAAAGAAAGAATTAATGTCTGAATGCTGGTAACAAGCCTTACAGATTTACTCTCAGGTGGAGCATCAAAGCGTCTGCTTTTAATGTCATGCTTGATACTTAAAACTTTATTGTTATTTGAATGCGTTGTGATTCCGACCAGACATGGAGACAAAGGGGAAAGAGAAAGGAAGAGACAAAAAGGGGGAGGGGGTGGGGGTCCACAAAAATAAACAAGGATGAACAAGAGTCTGCTTCTAGAGCTGAAGAATTGTGACACACAACAATAAAACAGGAGCAAGCTATCACTGCGTCAACTTGATGAAGAAATATAAAATAAATATTATTTTACTGAACAATCACACGATAATAAATCACAGTGCATTTAGTGTCAACCACAGCCTTAAGACATGTGTTGAACATGCCCAAGTCCATACTTATGAGAGCACCAAGTGAGCACCTGTGTGTGTACATGCACTTGTCTATGTAAGGTTTCTCTATAGGAGCGTCAAAAAGAGAGAGGGAGGGGCCACACATCTGCCCCCCAAAGATATGTAGGAGATGGAGGGAGCTCCAAGTCCCAGAGATCCAGGAGTTGCCCCAGAGCACAGGGACCCAAAGGAGACTGTGACCAGAAAAGCCCCTGCCCCCCTCAAGAGGCGCAGAGGATCGCCCCGGGGGCCACAACCAGCAGCCGGCAGAGTCCCGGGAGTTATCAGCGGCAAGCCCACAGGCCTGCCCGCAGCCTCCCACCCCCCAGCCGGCCGAGCCCGGAACCCGGGACCCAGAGGCGAC